CTTCATATTAATATTGTAGTGTTATACAACAGCATTAAAAGCCAATTTAATTTAATCAATTTATGTCGTTTAAATCTTAATTCCAGTTCAAACAAAATAGCCTATTGTCAACATAATTATGGAGTGTGATTTATTTTCAACTCGAAATATCTTCAAACTAATGAAGTATGGAGTTATTAGTGAAGAAAATCAGTCTGAATAACAGCAGACTGACTGCTCGTAAATTATACGACAGGTCTGGACCACTCGTGAATTTTGTTTGTATCTGAAGAAAATCTTAGAAAACGTAAAAATTGGTGAATGCCACAAATTCTCCTAAATCACTCGTACGCACAATTTAAGAACAAATCTGTGCGTACGAACGGTTCTTACATGAGGCCCAATGAGAGCAACAGACAGTTTTATGTCACGGGGGCAGTGCCGAGCTCGCTGGAGGCGCTACGCATGCGCTATACACATGCCTGCCTGCCTTGCATAACGTGAAGGTTGACTACAGTTGGAAAAAAGAGCGCACAGAACACTTAATTTGTCTTAAAATACAGACATTCTGACAAATAAGTAACTGTTTGTAACCTTACCTCAGCTTAGAAGGCAGAGGGTGTCGGTCTTTTCTGCTCAGATTCAGCTATCGGTGCATGAAGCTAATGTTTACTCACAATGCTAATGCTACCCTTAATCTCTGGCGCTCAAGAGGTAGAGGAGCCAAATGGCTGGCTCAATACTGCCAACTAGTGGTCAGAGGCTGAACTACAACATAAAATGAACAGCTGGCAGGAAAGTTGACATTTTAAACCTTAATTAAAAATCGATACAGGGCTTTAGAATATCGATACAATATCGGGAAATGAAATATCGTGATATTTCAGTGTATCAATATTTTCTTACACTCCTAATGATGAGTATGTTGGCTGCTGTGATCAACAAATAACAGTCAGGCATGACAAAAAATAAATAAAAAAACAGCTTGATTTACTCAGATGAAAGTTGGACAAACACTTTTTTTATGTTTGGAACTCTGCACGTTTTCTCTCTGCTGTCATATTCTCTTTATTTAAATCTGCACATTGAAAACCTTCTTAAAATATATTTAGAGCCCATCTCCATCAAGAACGTGAGTGTGGACTTCCTGCAGGGAACCCTGGGACACTCCTATTTGTGCCGCGAGGAGCAAACTTTGTTTGTGTCCCAGAATTTGTCCATCAACATCTTCCAAGTCCAGGTGCAGCCCTTCGGTGTGACTGGAAACCAGTTTGGAGCAGGTAAATCCATTCTCTGAGTGATRAAACCTTCATCAGCTGCTGTCTTCCTCCGACCCAAACCTTCCTCCCGCTCTTTTCTACTCTGCAGCGGAGGAGTGCCAGCTGGACGTAGACAACCTGTTGATCCCCATCATAGTCGGAGCAGCTTTAGCCGGCCTGGTSCTCATCGTGCTCTTGGCCTACCTGATAGGCAGGAAGAGGAGCCACGCCGGYTACCAAACCATCTGAGGTCGCTGGTTTGATGCCAGAGGCCGGAGCATGCCATTTCTCCTCTGAAGTTAAATTAACCACTACTTTGTGAGAGTTAACACTCGATCTTTCCTCCCTTCTGCTTCTCGATCCTTCATCTTCCTCATGTGTTTGCTGTTTTTTTTTTCCATAACACTAATTTTCACCTTTTTGCAGAGGTATGTTTTTCTGAGCTGATTTACTCTTTCAGATGAAAGGGACTTTGCTGGGAGGTAGTAACAAAATGAATAAAAACTCTTTATTGGTACTAAGTAAAGCAGAGGATCACTGAGGCTCTTCGTGCTGTTGTTTCTATTTATGATTTCTGTGAAAAGGATTTTTGAGGGATTGTGAGATTTGAGCAGCTTGTTTTTTGGGGTGGCCTTTTTTTTTTGCCCAAAGTAGAGTTTAAAAAGGGAACTTTTCATCCATCTGAAACACTAAAAATCTGACATTTATCTTATTTTAAGCTATTGGGTGGTTCTGTTTGCTTTTTGTTTTGGATTTCAGCCCACTTGGGGTTTTGGTTGATGGAGAGTAAGCTGTTGCACTGAAGTTTTAAGAAATGTGTCATAAAATTCAAGTGTTCAAACAGGTCTGGTCAGTGGTGATCAGTGCCTTCCCAGCTGTGGGACTCAGCTGAAGCCAACATCAGATACTGACACAGTTTGCTGCTGTGAATGGGACATTTTCTTGTCTCACAGCCTTCATGTATGTTACTGTCATTTAAAAATTAAAGCTTTTTTTTGCTCTCATCCTAACATTTCATGTAAAAATTTAACTATGTTTTAAAGGATTTTTTTTTAAGGAAAAGTTAATAAAGGTGAAAGAATGAAGCTGATTAATGTATTTATTTATAKTTTTGTTTTGGCCTTTATTGCTTTAAGTGGTCAGACCTGTTCCCAGTTTGGACTCCTTTATATGGAGGTCAAATAAAAAGAAGGCTTACTATGCTGTGTAAAAGTATTAACACCATATTTACACTATATTTTGTTTTCAACAGGACAGGTTTTCTAATGTTTTATCTGTCCTGATCCTTCAGACTTAAATTTTTTAAATGTAATACAGACAACAAAAGGCTGGAACATTGTGTAACTACAGTAGTCAGGTTAAGGATGTTGGCAACAAATSAGTAAGAGGACCTGGAATAAAAACAGCGTTTTAGAGAATTTCTCCAACTTAAAATGGCAGGCAGGGATTCACTAGTCTGTCTAAAGCAAGTGGAACAAAGTCAATATGTTCCACAATAGAAGACAAATGGCCCACCATCTATAGTTCAAACTAATKAATTAATTCAATTCAAAAATACTTTATTGATCCCAGAGGGAAATTAGGTWAATTAATTAATTAATAGATTGMAAATTCTGGAGAAATCCTTGAGCTAAAAGACTGATTGAAAGTGAATATTAAATGCCTGGGATCTCTTGGTCCTTGGCTCTTTTCATTAAAACAACAACAACAACATAGGCCTGATGATGTCATTGCATGCACTCTGGAACAACAGCCTATATGCCACGGTCATTAATGRCGTATTTCCGGTAAAATTTTTGCCACGCTCCTCYCTTCCACTCYWTGCTTMCTGCCTATGTTTTTAGCATTAGCTGCTAGTACTAGTCCRTGAAAAAGTCACAAAAGTTAAAGCATCTGTGATCTACTGGTATAAAACATGAGTTCTGTTGTGTCCACTAAGCAGCAGATACGATCGAGTAGTTAGTTTTTCTCCTTTTTCCTTTAGATGAGGAGGTGACAGCTGTGGATCATAGCATTACAGGGAAAACTTATCTTTAAAAGCTCACATTTGTGTTTGTAATCGGCATTTCTAACCTGAGGATATTCAGGAGCCAGCATCAGAAATGACTTCATCTGTAAACACAGTTCACTGCACCATACACATATATTGGTATGTAAAAAAGACTGAGGTGTATAGTACTTGAAGAAATAATTAAATAAAAGGAGAAAATTTTTTCACTGATAAGAAAAGTACTTAAAGTCATAAAACTGCTCACAATAGTCAGGAAAATATAAATAATTGTACAGACTCAAAGAAATGAAGAGTTGTAAATTGAGCAAATTACACATTTTAATGTAAAAATGATTAAATTGCTTTACACTTGCTAAATTTGGTTTAGTGGAACCAGATGACAAGTAAGCAACTCTTCATGATGATTTCCAATCATATTTAAATTTGTAGTGTATAATAAGGTTTAAAGTGAAGTAAAATTATAACTTTTATGTTTTGAATGTAATGAAATAAAAGCAAAGGTTAGGATAAAAAAACTTTGTAAAATCACAGATCCTCAAAAAATTACTTAAGTACTGTAATGAAGTACATATACTTTGTTACCTCTGGCCTTTAAGAACACCAYCCAGAAACGTTGCTGTTTTCTCTGGACCAAAGCTCATTGGGACAAGGCAAAAAAAATGTTTTTTTTTAAAATGCATACTGAAGAGCAGTGGTGGGCACAGTTCCCCTAAAGCACTAATAAAGTAGGTGAACTAATTTCTTGATTAGTTTTTTAGGGCTTTTGCTCATTTCAGAATTTATTAGTGGATTAGCACTTGCTAAATTTATAGGCTAAATTTAGAAGCACTAACTGAGGCCTATAAATGTTATTGTTAAGTGAAAACTGTCACACATTTTGTGTGTCACTTATCCACTATGTGACAATTTATTAACAATAAATGAACTCAAATACGGCTGTGGAATGTCAATGATAAGTAGAGAGCATCAAAAAGAAAAAAATTGTATAGGTCTTCTGGACGGGTTCTTCTTTAATGAAACGTTTCGTCTCTCCTCCAAGAGACTTCTTCWGTCTGAGAGTTTCAGGCAAAATTCAGGCTTTTAAGCCCTGCCTCCATGTGACTGATACTCACATCACATGGCTATCGTTGACACCTAATTAACACCTAATTTAACCGGGGGTGGAGTGATACTGGCAATAGCCGCACTGTAGGAGGGGGACAACTGAAAACGGAGGCCTCCACCTCTGTTTAATGATGGACGGTCTTTCTTCACAAAAATGGCTTCTTTTACTCCTCTCTCAAACCAACGTTCCTCTCTATCAAGAATGAGAACATCCTCATCTCTGAAAGAGTGACTGCTGGCCTGTAAATGAGTGAAAACTGCAGAGTTCTGGCCATTAGACGTAGCTCGTCTGTGTTGGGACATTCTTTTGAACAGTGGCTGCTTTGTTTCCCCGATGTATAACTGGTCGCAGTCCTCCTGGCACTTAACAGCATATACAACATTGCTCTGTTTGTGCCGGGGMACCGGATCTTTGGGGTGAACCAGCCTTTGCCGTAATGTKTTTTGGGGTTTGACACACATTACAGCAAAGGCTGGTTCACCCCAAAGATCCCCAACTTTTTACCTGGATTACTGAGATGCATCAGGACATAGAGAGCAACACGGCAACATGTGACTCGTCTGTTGAAGAATGTTCACGGGTTGTCTGGGTTATTTTAGTGCTTTAGAATTAGGGGACCTAAATATTTGAGTTAGTTTTTTTATGGCTAGTGGAGCTAATTTTTAGATTAGTGCTGCCCACCACTGCTGAAGAGAAGAGAGACCATCCTGCCTGCCTCTCTGATGGTATGTGGGTGCAACATTTTTTTTTCTTAATTTCAACATTATATTTTTTCGCTGCACAGAAAATATGGGTTTATGAGATTTATAATTCTGTTTTTGTTTACATTTTACACAATGTCCACACTTTTTATGACTTGAGGTTGTAGTGATTTTTATACATTTTACTCAGTTTACAGTCAAATGAAACATTGGGATTTACAAATGTGTTTGAAGGTTCATCCACCAAACAAATGTGGGATCACAAAGTGGTTCACGTTTGAAACGTTGATGGTGTGTAAAATTGTAGCCCCAAAACAATAATCAGAAACCATTTAGTAAATATTTTAATGTGTTTTTAAAAACATCTTTTTACATAATAAGATTTCAGTCATCAGTGGAATGCAGCTTTGTCCCACATAAAGTCTGGAAGTGGATCAAAAGAGTTTTATCTGAGCTCAGAAATCAACAGTTTTGCTGTTTGGGACATTTTGAGAGGGTCAGTGGAGGTTTGAAGCTTATGAATGAACGATTGTTAAAGACTCACATATAACAAGATAATCACCTTTAGTTTTTGTTGCAGAAACATTTTCATACGGCTATGTAAGAAAACAGATTAGAACTGTTAACAAGCACAGATTCTATAAATAAGAGCAATAATCAGCACATTAAATTTACCGTGTTTCCTTCCTTCATTAAATAGCTTTAAGCTAACTAAAATTGCATTTCTACACAGTGTGAAATAAATCTGCTCAGCCTCATAATAAAGTGTAAACAATCAACAAAATGACAGATTCAAGTATGGATTGAAAAGCAGGTGGAGTGATCTGCACTGAATAAAGCAGCAAGGATATTTTAGGAAATGAAACAAAAGAAAGGCTTAGAAACATCAGTATTAAAAATATATGTATTTATATATAAACAAATACCCAGTATGCTGGATCTAGAATCAGCCGCCTTTCTTAGTCTATTCAAACTTCCTCCAGTATCTGATAAACTTCATCTGCTTTGAGATTCCTCCTCCAGGATTTGTCGTCTGCATTTCTCTCTCAGTTTATTTATAGTTGCCATTGACAGGCTCCCAGGTTCTGTAAAGATTTTCTGTGAAAAAAGGGAGAAAGTGTAACCATATATACATATATATATACACTGATCAAAAAAAATAAAGGGAACATTTAAACAACACATGCTAACTCCCGATCTTAATCAATGAAATATTCGCATTGAGTACTTTGTTCTGTACAGAGTTGAATGTGCTTCATAAAAGTTTGATTTACTTGGACTTAGCGTGCGTTAAGTGTTCCCTTTATTTTTTTGAGCAGTGTGTATCTATACAGGTGCTGGTCATAAAWTTAGAATATCATGAAAAAGTAGATTTATTTCAGTAATTCCATTTAAAAAGTGAAACTTGTATATTATAT